CTGCCCGGACCTGGCGTGTGGCCGGCGGCTGGGCAGCTTCTATGGCTCCTTTGCTTCCCCAGACCTGTTTGGTGCAGCCCGAGGGCCCTCGGACCTTCACTGCACGTGGCTGGTGGACACACAAGACACGCGGCGTGTGCTGCTGCAGCTGGAGTTGCGGCTGGGTTATGACGACTACGTGCAGGTGTACGAGGGCCTGGGTGAGCGTGGGGACCGCCTGCTGCAGACGCTGTCCTACCGCAGCAACCACCGGCCCGTGAGCCTTGAGGCTGCCCAGGGCCGCCTCACTGTGGCTTACCATGCCCGCGCCCGCAGCGCTGGCCACGGCTTCAACGCCACCTACCAGGTGAAGGGCTACTGCCTCCCGTGGGAACAGCCGTGTGGGAGCAGCATCGAGGGCGACATGGGTGACACAGGTGAACAGGGCTGTTTCTCGGAGCCACAGCGCTGCGATGGCTGGTGGCACTGTGCTAGCGGCCGAGATGAACAGGGCTGCCCCACCTGCCCTCCAGACCAGTACCCCTGCGAGGGTGGCAGCGGCCTGTGCTACACACCTGCTGACCGCTGCAACAACCAGAAAAGCTGCCCTGACGGCGCTGACGAGAAGAACTGTTTCTCTTGCCAGCCTGGCACCTTCCACTGTGGCACCAACCTGTGCATCTTTGAGACGTGGCGCTGCGATGGCCAGGAGGACTGCCAGGATGGCAGTGATGAGCACGGCTGCCTGGCGGCCGTGCCCCGGAAGGTCATCACCGCCGCCCTCATCGGCAGCCTGGTCTGTGGCCTGCTGCTCGTCATCGCCTTGGGCTGCGCCTTCAAGCTCTACTCACTGCGCACGCAGGAGTACAGGTGGGCGGGCGGTGCCTCACTGCTGCCCGGTGCCTGGGGTCACAGGCCATGAGCCTCAGCTTCTTCATTTCTTTGGAGAGAGGGGCTCTGGGCTCACTGTTCCTACAGCTGTGGGTAAATTGGGGTTTGGGCCATCCATGTGGGACTTCTCTTGTGCATCCAGGGTCCAGGCGTCTCAGGATGTCTGGAGGGTGTGGCAGGGCCCACATCCTGCCGTGAGCCCTTGCACAGTGCCCCATGGGAGGCGGGAAGTGTGGGGTCTTGGCCAGCCCTGCTATGCTGCCCTTCTGCCGCTTGCTTTCAGGGCCTTTGAGACGCAGATGACACGCCTCGAGGCTGAGTTTGTGCGGCGGGAGGCACCCCCGTCCTATGGGCAGCTCATTGCACAGGGCCTCATTCCACCCGTGGAGGACTTTCCTGTCTACAGTGCATCCCAGGTGAGCGCCAGAGGGCATGAGACCCGACAGTCCCCAGCTCCCGGCTGGACCTGCAGCTGGACCGAGACAAAGTGGGGTAGATGGAGGCGGGAAGTGAGGCCCGGGGAGGGTGACATGGGGGCCGTGGCCAGATGGGGAGGACAAATTGGTCTCTTGGGGTCTCGGGTCCCTTGGGGGTCGTGCTGACCTCTGCCCCCTCAGCCGCCGACCCACCCTCCAGGCCTCCATGCTACAGAACCTTCGCACAGCCATGCGGCGACAGATGCGCAGGCATGCCTCCCGCAGAGGACCCTCCCGCCGCCGGCTCGGTCGCCTGTGGAACCGGCTCTTTCACCGGCCTCGGGCACCGCGAGGACAGATCCCACTGCTGACTGCTGCGCGCACCTCACAGACAGTGTTGGGTGACGGGCTCCTCCAGCCTGCTCCAGGGGCCGCCCTGGACCCCCCAGCACCCCTGACGGACACAGGCAGCGCTGGGGCAGCTGGAGATGGGTCCCCCAGTGCCCCTGTCCATACACCAGAGGTGGGACCTTCTGTGCTGCCCCCCTTGAGCCTGCAGGACCCAGAGTACAGGCCAGTGGACAAGGACAGAAAGGCCTGCAGGGACCCTCTGATGGACAGCCCAGCTTCTGTGGACACGCCTCGGGAGCCCTGCTCGGCCCAGGACCCTCACTCCCTAGCCCCCACTGCCGGCAGCACCCTAGGCCCCCACCCACCAGAGCCACTGGGTGTCTGCAGGAGCCCCCCACCCCCCTGCTCCCCAACGGAGGCCAGTGACGACGAGGCCCTGCTGGTCTGCTGACCCACCAGACGCGCTGGTGACTGCCACAGCCCCGCCTTGTAACCAGGGAATATACAGTTGTTTCTACCCTGCCTCTGCGTTCTTCTTTCTTGCAGTGTGGCCCACCCAGAATCCCGCCAGCCTCCGCATCAGCATCCCCCCTTCTGGTGGGCAAGGCGGGTGGGGCTGTGGGGGCTCGGCAGGGGGAGAGTGGAATGATGATCCCCTCGGTGTGGTCCCGTGCCCACACCGACACCTGGGGTCTCACTTCTATCTCCCCCCTCCATTCTGGGAACCCATTTCCAGAGAAGCCGGAGGACCAGGGGAGAGCTCTCTGGGGTGTTGTCTGTGGCTTCTCACTTCATTCACCCCAGAGGGCGCCAGAGCTGTGCCTGAACTGAACGTAGCTGTTGGGCACATGGAACCCATCCACGTCCACGGTAGGTCGGCTCTGTTGGCACTGAGCTCTCCATCCTCCAAGCAGGACCCGGAGGAGCTGGGCCAGGAGGCTTCTGCCCCCAAACTCATGCCTGTGGTATAAGCCTGGGCCTGGCCAGGCTGATGACCCTTGCCCTCTAGCTGGAAGGGTCAATCTGGGCACGGGGCACTGAAAATGTGGGCGGGGGGAGAGGAAGGCCCTGGGAGATGCTGCTCGATGTTTCTCAGGGGACAGAGGCTGAGGCACAAGCTGACAGTGGCCAAATCCATCCCCTCGTGTCTCAGGGCCTCCGTTTCCTTACCTGTAAACCAGGGTGCGGCATGAGCTCTGAAGTCCTGACACTCACCCCGTGGGGATTTATGGGAACAAAGGCCGCTCTGGAGGGAACCCGTGGACTCTCCCAGGGGGAGGGAGAGGCTGAGCCTCAGCCAGGTCTTGCTGGGCCTGGGGAGGGCACACCAGCTGCTTCCCAATCCTCGATGTCCCTTTGGGGCAGAGGTGGCGCTGGACCCGACTGCCAGTCCCAGAGAGGAAGTGGCAGAGCTTCCAATGCAGGGGCTCAAGTGGCAGAGCCCCCAATGCAGGGGCCTCCTCCAGAGCCTGCGGCACCTTCCCCACCTCTCCACAGGTGCCCGCAGAGTTATGCCCACTTGGGACTCACCTGAGACAAGTGCACCACCAGCCCTGTTTTATTCATAGATCGTTTCAGGAAAAGCCTGCAGGGCCGTGCTGGCAGGGGACCTAGTCCACATCTCAGGGCTTCCTTATTACAGGCCTCTAAGAGTGGGAACTCTTTTTTTCCAGGAAAAACAACTTTTTTTCCGAAACACCTCCTCAATAAACAACATGTAAACAGAAATAGCTGCTTCAGGCTCCATAAGTGTCTCATTGTGTCTTCAAGGGCTTGTCCGCAGAGGGCAGTGGGGAGGGCTGGCAGGGGCCATTCTCCTCCTCCTCGGGAGCGCCCTGGGGGTAGACCACGAAGCACAGCTCCTGCCCCCAGCGTGTCATTGACTCTGAGGACAGACAGACAGACAGATGGACCTTGGGATCTGACCCGTGGGACGGGGGTTCTCAGGGAGCTGCTGCATTTGTGGTGGGTCCGGGACACTTGGGCCTCATCGTGGGGAGACAGTTGGGGTGGTTGGCCCTGTGTTGCCAGTACAGCTGCTGGTAGACCCTGCTCAAGGGCGACCCCCCTAAAGAGTCCCATCTCTAGCCCCGGCACTTGGGGGAGGCTGCCCAGCTCACCCGTGAGTCTGTGCACACACTTTGGTTTGCTTCTCCAGAACACTCCCAGGAAGAAAATGGGCACGCCGGTGAGGATGATGATGACGCCGATCCCACACACCATTGGCTCTGAGATGAAGCTGAAGATCAGCAGGAACGCCCAGAAGACCAAGTACGCAGCAGGGACAAGGAGGTTCACCTGTGGTGAGTGAGCGGAGCACCAATGGTGCGGGGCCCCCCTCACCCTGCCCCACCACCCTGGGGGCCCTGGTGCTTTCCACCTTTTCCTGAGAGCTAACCCCTGAGGGGCTGGTCCCCTTCTGGCAGCAGCACAACATGCTGGAAGCCCATTCATCAGTTGGCCAAATTGTTAAGGATTTGTCAGGGTCAGCAGCTCCAAGCTCTACAGTGACTGTATGTGGACTTGAGGCTTGCACTTGGTTGCAGGTCAAATCTTTTTTGGCCTCTCACATTTCAGGCACTGAACCCTTCTCCAGCTCAAGGATTTATTTGCAAACAGGGGGACTTTTCTTTTAGCTCAGTTTAGGGTCTTTTGTTTTGCTGTGGGCTCATGAACTCCTGTGCAACCATGAGCGAGTATTCAAATCACCCACCTCATGGGGTTGTTCTGAGGACTAAATAGGCCAGGGCACACAAAACCCCGAGCAGGGCCTAGCACGGGGCAAAAGCTGGAATCCCCATTCCTGTCATCACCCGCCACGGATGCCCAAGTGGGTGAAACTCTCACCTTGATGGGCCTGTGGAGCGCCGGCCGTCTCCAGCGCAGCACGAGCAGGCCCAGGATGGTGACGCCGTAGCAGAGGTAGTTGATGAAGGACACGTAGTTGATGAGCGTGTACGTGTCTCCCACAAGCAAGATAACCGCCGTGGCCCCGTACTGGGAGAGGACCGAGCTGAGGGCTGGCCTCCCGCCTGCCTTCTGTCAGCCCTGCAGGCTGTCCTGGGGCTCTGGGCTCAGGTCAGGAGGTCGGTGAGCCCTGGCCCTCCCCACTCCCTCCGTGGGCTGCCCACCAGGGCCAGAGCTCATCCCTGCTACTGCCCACATTACTGGTGGCTTGGGCTTCCTGCCCTACCAGCCTGGGTCACCCAACTTACGCAGACGAGGAGGGCGGGGATAGGGGTGCAGCGTCTGACATGGATCATGGCCAGTAGGCTGGGCAGGTGCCCTTCGCGGGCTCCAGAGAAGCACAGCCTGGGGGATAGAGATGGGTGGGGGCTGTGAGCCGGCCTCGGGCCTTCCCTCTGGCCAGATCCTGGATCTCCGCTCTAAACCTGATATCCCTCTTGTTGTCACCTCTGACCCCTTGCTCTAGGCCCCAACAGCCCACTGGGCAGTTCTTCCCCGCCTCTTGCCTGCCTCCCTCTTGCTTTTTGTTCCTGAGTTGGGATCCGACATTTGTTCATGGGGAGTCCATTGTCCCAGCTTCAGGAGGGCCCCACCTGGCAGGGTTTCTTGTCCTTTGGCCCCCAGCACTGCTTGCATGCCAGGGCACCTACCTTGCCTCACCGGGGCCACCCTTTCCCCAGTCCAGTCACCTGGAGGAGGTGAACAGGTAGCCATTGATCCCTCCGAAAGTGGAAAGTGCCACGGAGACGGGCATGACCCAAGAAAAATAGCCCAGCAGCTTCTCCCCGAAGGTCTGAGTGAGCACAGGAGAGAGGCAGTGCATGAGGCTGGGTGGGGGTAGGGCAGGGCTGGGGACCGAGTGGGGCCCCACTCACCACGGCCACTGCGTTCGAGGCCAGCAGCTCCTGGGGGGACATGGCAGTGAAGTAAGCGATGTTGGTGAAGGTGTACACAAAGGTGACCAGCGGGATGGAGATGAAGATGGCTCGAGGTAGGTTCCTGGGGCAGTGGTGAGGGGACATCAGTGCCTGCCCTCTGGGGGCTGGGGTGGGTTCCAGGGGTGAGGAGGGGGACCAGGGGATCCAGCAACAGGAGCAGCTTTGTGTCCATCGCCTGTGTCTATTGGGGGCCTTGAGGGCAGGGAAGGGGGCAGCACTGCTATCTGTCTCACACCCCCTCAACTCCCTAAACCCAGCTTGGGCACAGGCTGGTGGGAGGAAGGCAGATGGGGGAGGGGCCACAGCATATCCTGGGACCTAAGGGGTGAGTCTAATGTCTGCACATAAAGAGAAAATTGCATACAGCCAAAATCAGCCTTGAAAATCCCAGCAGTGCCCTGAGAGCTCAGTCCACGGACCCGGGTGCCCCTGGGACTCCCTATCAGCCCAGCCCCTGCTGGGACTGCTCACTATGGGGTCCCTGGCTGAGCATCAGATGGAGCCACTGGCTTCATCTGCAGGGACCATGTTGTGTGCACATGTATAATTTTTGGCCAAATGCAAATAGCTGGATCCATTTAGAGCGGAACAATGATATTCAGTGTTTCTGGGGCCCAGCAAAGGGCTATGACTTGCCCACAGCCATACAGGGCCAGGCTGGAACACAAGCGCCCCGGCTATCTAGAGCCATTCCTGTGGGGCAGTGGCATGGGCAGGCAGATGACCAGACCAAGTCACAGGTGGTAGCAGGTCTGTCAGGGAGGCTGCCTCTCCCATCGCCGGGCCGCACCCCTTCCCAAGGCCCAGCCGGGTGCACTCACTTTCTAGGGTCAACTAGCTCCTCGGTGACATAATTGAGGAAGTTCCAGCCGCTGAAGGCAAAGGAGCCCTGCAGGAAGGCCAGGGCCAGGTGACCCACGGAGGGTGTCATCCAGAAGTCGAAGGCATTGCTGGGCCGCAGCTCCTCGAAGTGTCCTGGGGGTCCAGAGGTCAAGGGTCAGTTTCCTCTCTCCAGCCCTGGGCACAGGCCCACCCTGGCCCTACCTTGGAAGATCTGGACAAAGCCCATGCCAATGATGAGCGACAGGGCCAGCAGCTTCCCGCCGGTGAAGATGTCCTGGATGCGTGTGGCCCAGCGCACGCTGGAGCTGTTCACCCACGTCAGGAGCACTGGGGAGGAAAGGCAAGGGGGCGGGTGGGCGCCTGAGGCCGAGACCCTTGTTGTGGGCCACAGCCAAGTCCAGCCTGAGCTGCAGGAGGGTGGCATACCCTGCAGCAACCAGAGTGCCTCTCCCTCTCCATGGGTCTGGCAGCTGGAGGAGTCCTCCCCTCCTCCCCAGCAGAGGCCCCACCCTGCCCCATGGTGGGCACTCACTCAGGCAGGCCATGGAGAGCACACGGGAGGCTGCGGCGGGGGGGATGCAGTTGGGGAACACGGGCTGCAGTATGTAGTTGGAGAAGGTCATGGAGATGACGGCCAGGCTGGTGGGGTACATGATAAGGACTGCGCTCCAGAGCAGCAGGAAGCTGAAATGAGTGAGGACCCAAGTGGCATAGGCATCCCATCGCCTTCCCAGTAGAGCAGACCGAGGTGTGGAGCAGGGCTGCACCCTGGGT